GAGACTACAATAACAATGCTGAAACTTTTCAGCACAAGAATCCTGTGATTTATGAGGAATCCTCAGGCTTCGGCTTATCCCTCCTTCCTTTACCATCATCCAACCTCACATTTACAAAAAATAAAATAAAATAAAAATGCAACATCTGTTTGGAAATTAAACACAAAAGCTAGTAACAAAAAGTGAATTGTATGGCAATGACATCTGAAAATAGAACCATTGTTGAAGCCAATAAAAATATGTTTTCATTATGGAAATCTCAAGTCTCTAAAATTTATTTGTGCTTTCTCTGGGAGGGGATGTTCCCAGTTTGAGAGTCAGTTGACAAGCATTTTACAACTCCAGGATGTCCAGCAGGGGTGTGGTGATGATGATATGCAAATTTTTTACTTCCGTTTTGGTTAAAACTTGTATCTGTTATATAATATCTGTCAAGTTTTTTAAATAATGTTTATTACCTGTGGTTATTTTTATTGCCTGTGGTTTTTTTTGAATCATCATCATCATCTTAGAACTGGAAGGTGTGGGGGGAGGGCTCTCTCTGTGGGAGCGAATTTGGTGAAAAGTCCCAAGCTTGGAAAAGTTACTGTTGGGAGCTATAATTTCCCAGATCTCTCAGCCAGCACGCATCCGTGCCGACTGGGGTGTTTGAGGAGTTGTAGTCCAAACAAAACAAAAACAAAAGGAATGTTACAACTTTTTTGCAGCAGTGCTGAACTTCTCCAAAGAATTACAGAAAAGGAGTGCATTCAAAGGTTCTGGGATCACCTGTGAATATGCCTCGTGCAAGACCATAGCACTGGTGGATCTAGACTAGTGCCGTTTACTCTGAGTAGGAGGATGGAACAAGGAGTAGCCTTGTTCCATCAAAATCCAGGAACTCAACCACAAATCTTCTATACAAAAATATGTCCTTCTTCAATGAACTATGGTACAACCTTCACCACCAGCTCTACTAGTCGGGGTTTCTCAGAATTGCAGTCCAGGAACAGCTAAGTTATCCAAGGTTGGGAACCACCGTTCTAGGAAATGTGTTGTTTTAAGGTAAACAAAGTATTTCGCCCTCATTTGAGCAGCTTTCTGATACAGTGGTGCCTCGCTTAACGATTACCTCGTTAAATGACAAAACCGCTATACGATGACTGTTTTTGCGATCGCTTTTGCGATCGCAAAACGATGTTTTAATAGGCAAAATCTGCTTTGCGACGATCGGTTCCCTGCTTTGGGAACCAATTCTTCGCATTACATTTTTAAAACAGCGGAGTGGCGGCTTCAAAATGGCCGCCCGCTGTGTAAAATGGCTCCCCGCTGTGTTTTTGGATTGATTCCTCGCTTTACAGGCACCAAAAATGGTCACCCCTATGGAGGATCTTCACTGGACGGTGAGTTTTTCAGCCCATTGGAACGCATTGAACGGGTTTTCAATGCGTTTCAATGGGATTTTTTATTTCGCTTAACGAGGATTTCACTGGAACGGATTATCTTCATTAAGCGAGGCACCACTGTATGTGTTGTGATGGTGGTGGGAGTAAACCTGATTTCCCTGGTGAGAATTTTGGAAGTACGGTACCTCCGTTTCTAAAGGAAAAAGCAGAGGTGCGGAAACCTTCATTTTTGGGGGTATAATTCGCAGAACGCCTCAGCTAGGTTGGCCACCGACCATCCTGGGTCAGGTTATGCTGGCTGCTGTAGTCCAGAAAAAGGACTGTTCCCCATCTCTTAAGTTCCCATGGCAAAGCAAATTTGTAGCTTGGCCACCGACCATCCTGGGTCAGGTTATGCTGGCTGCTGTAGTCCAGAAAAAGGACTGTTCCCCATCTCTTAAGTTCCCATGGCAAAGCAAATTTGTTATTCCAAGAGAAAGCAGCACCCTAGTGAATGAGTTACTTATAATAATGATTGCCCCGTGAGAATGTTGGAGGAAGGAAAGGAAATCTTATTGCAAACCACCTTTGCTGTGACCTGTGTAAGGTTATGCCTAGGGGGGAAAAGGGAACATACAGCCAAAGCAAAAACTGGAGCCTAGCTTGACCACCAACCATCCTGGGTCAGGTTATGCTGGCCGCTGTGGTCCAGAAAAAGGACTGTTCCCAACCTCTTAAGTTCCCATGGCAAAGCAAATTTGTTATTCCAAGAGAAAGCAGCGCCCTAGTGAATGGGTTACTTATAATAATGATTGCCCCGTGAGAATGTTTGAGGAAGGAAAGGAAATCTTATTGCAAACCACCTTTGCTGTGACCTGTGTAAGGTTATGCCTAGGGGGGAAAAGGGAACATACAGCCAAAGCAAAAACTGGCGAGAGAAATCTATGTCTGTGTTTCTGTTCACACAATTGTGAAGCTGCTGTTCTAGGGACAGCATAAATCTGCCTTTGAAATAAAAAGAAAGTCATGCGGTCGTTACAAAATACAAGAGTAAGCGATACCTTTATTGTTGTTGTTTAGTCGTTAAGTCCTGTCCGACTCTTCGTGACCCCATGGACCAGCGCACGCCAGGCCCTCCTGTCTTCCACTGCCTCCCGGAGTTGGGCCAAAGATACTTTTATAGGCCACCACACACACACACTCACAAAAATCATACAGTCTGCTAGCTTTTGTGGATCAAGACCGTCCATGTCCTGATCTGTGAAAGTTAGCAGACTGCATGATTTTTTAAAAAACGATCTATAAAAGTATCACCAACACTTGCATCTGTAGAAAACTGCCGGGCTCAATGGGGAAGTCCATTCCCATTTGTGGGGTGAGAAACAGTGTGTTCATGAGCCTGTTTGCATGACAGAAGGTGCAAAGGGCCCAAACTCCTCTCTGCCCTTCCTCTATTTTTATTTTATTTATTTATTAGATTTTTACCCCGCCCCTCTAGACCATGTCTACTACTAGTGCAGTACAGTGGTGCCTCGCTAGACAGTTACCTCGCATGACAGCTCTTTGACTAGACATTGACTTTTTGCGATCACTATAGTGATTTGCAAAACAGTGATTTCTATGGGGGAATTTTGCTGGACAATGTTTGGTCCCCGCTTCGCAAACCGATTTTCGCTAGACAACGATTTTGACAGCTCCCTCCACGCTCGCAAAACAGGTGTTTTCGGGACCTAAGCTTCGCAAGACAGCGATTTAAACAGCTGATTGGCGGTTCGCAAAGCGGCTTTCCTATGGCTGATCTTTGCTAGACAACGACGATTCTTCCCCATTGGAAAGATTAAACAGGTTTCAATGCATTCCAATGGGGAAATGCTTTTCGCGAGACAATGATTTCGGTAAACAGCGGTTTCAGTGGAATGGACTATCATCGTCTAGCGAGGCACCACTGTACAGTATAAGTAAAACTGTGACCCCATTTAACACAGTCCTTCTGAGCGATGAGTCTCTTGTACAGCTAGGAGTGATACAAATGAGAAAAGCAGAGTGAAATAGAGTCCATAAACTCTGTGTTTGTTTGTCACATATAGAATGTCTGCCTGCAGAACAGAGATGAGCAATTCTGGAAGGTCCGGGGACCAAAAAACTGTGACTCCATTCAACAGTCCTTCTGAGCGATGAGACTCTTGTACAGATAGGAGTGACACAAATGAGAAAAGCGGAGTGAAATAGAGTCCATAAACTCTGTGTTTGTCACATATAGAATGTCTGCCTGCAGAACAGAGATGAGCAATTCTGGAAGGTCCGGGGACCAAGGTTCTGACCTCAGGACCATCCATGGTGGGGGTCAGATCACCAAAAATGCCTGAACCAGCTAGAAGGCCATTTCTGGTTTTGAGAAAACCAGCTTTTCTGTATGCTAACACACTGAAAGCTGCCTCCATGGCCCACATAAAAGGTAAACAGTTACTCCTGGAAGCTCTGAGAAGTGATAATCCAGCAGTATTCATCAGCAAACAGGGGCTCAGAGGGAAGGCTGGGATCGGCGCTGCCTAATGGAGGAGCCTCATGGTGCAACGGTTAAACTGCACCACTGCCATGAAGACTCTACTTACAACTTGAGTTTCGTCCTGGGCTGACCAAGCCTTTCATCCTCCTGTGGTTGTTAACTGGAGTATTCACTGGCCGAGGCAATGTGTAAAAGCAAATGCAAAGCATGCTGCTTATATACTGCCCCATAACACTTGAAAGCACTCTCTGGGCACTTTGCAACTTAATTATGCAGGCTACACATTGTGCATAATTAAACGGTAAACCGCCCAGAGAGAGCTTTAAACACTATGGGTGGTATATAAGTGGTGCACTTTGTTTTGTTTTACTCTCACGGCAGAGGAGAGATCCAAGGAAGCTCAACGCAAGTTTTGGCTTCAGGAGGGATGACAGATCAACTTGTTTCCTCGGTGCTTCCCCCATTCGCTTCTTTTACAAAAAAGCTGGACCGTGCCTGCTTTTGTTGCCTTTCAAGCCAGGCGGGGCGAATGCACAGAAGGGTGGGACCTTCGCCGAGCCTCGTCCCGGCCAACATCTGCTTCTGTTCCCACCCAATCCCTGTCTCTGGTTTTGTTTCGCGTTGTGCGGGACGGGTGACTTGTGAGTCACCTCGCCGCACCGCTCTTGCTAGTTTCCCTGTTGGAAATGAGTCACCAGCTGGCTGGACAGAGCCACCCAAGAAAGAGAAGGGAACGGTGGGCAAATGACACAAGGAAGCCTGATGCACGCATTCACCCTGCAACCTGCAAGGCCAGTGCGACATCCTACGCACATAGGAATGGAGGAGGAGAAGGCCACGCTCCAAGGAGGAGGATGACATGATATGGTTGCCTCTAGGCCCTTCGCCTCCCCGCTTTCAAAAATAACATTTTCTCAATGCTTGATTTCTCAGAGCCTTGGGTTGGAGAGAAGGATCACAGCCCACGGCTTCCAGAGGCTGTGGTGAACCTCGACAAAGGGCGAAAAAGGGCACCCATGGGGACATTTTGTGTGTTGTGGGTGCTGCGCGGCACAGGCGAGCCGTAGAGGAAAAGGGATGAGAGGGGATCGATTGACAGGAAGCTCAAGTAAAATTGTTATTGCCTTTATTCTGCCCATGCCCTCCAGCAAAGTCCAGATGGCCAGTACACGCACTCTTACACATGCAAGCTCGCCAGCTCCACGAGGGGAGCGACCCCTCCCTCCCCCCCTTCGTCCCCCTCGGCTCAGGGCTGCAGCGGCCTTCGGGAAGAAAGCGACGAAAGGAAAGAACCAAAAAATAAAATAAAATAAAAATTAAAAACGTGTTCCAGTCCTTTTTTTGGCAGCAATCACAGCGTGTGTCAAGGAACGTATCCGCAGAGATGGCGGTGCGGCTGACAAGAGCCTGCTCCTTCCTGCATAAAACATGAGATCGGGGAGGACGCGAGGGGTAGCAGACGCTCGTTCACTCAGCCGAGCCTTTCCTTCTCTCCCGGATCCTGAATCCCGCTGGGCAGGCCTTTTGTGTGCATCTGTCCGTCCGTTTGTCTGTCCGTGTGTGATCCCTGTGCAAACTCGTGCGGTTGGGCCTCTGGAAACGCTGAGCTCACAAAATACAAGCAGCTGAAGACTCTCCTCTTCCACCCCTGGCATGGCTTTATAGTTCCGAAGTGCCAGGTCCAGGTGGACCGACCGCCGTCTCCCCAACGGGCATTTCTTGGCCGTCTCCCCAAGGAGAGCCGGCCGGGTGCATTGCACTGTCTCAGGCTGCATAGAGGGGGTGGGAATGCCCAGCTGCATCTCCCGCCCTCCCCTTCTTGCTCACGAGGTGCCGCACTAGCAGTGTTCCTTCGTTCAATGACCTCTTCCCTCTTTGCCAAGATAGAGGATGGGAAGTCACCCTCCCCGTGAAGACTCGCTTGCGAGCGCCGGGAGAGAGACGCCCAAAGACACCGGAAGAGTCCATGCCAACGGCGCGGGTGAGAGGCAGCAGGCGACGATGAACCTCAGGGCCAGTGAAGGTGGGGGACAAAGGAAGGGAAGAGAGGGCAGAAGCCCCCCTCTCGCCCCTGCATTAATCTTGTCTTCAATATGAAGACTTCGCATTGCTGGCGTACCATTCAAAACACGCACCAGCAAAACAGGAAAAAAAAGGAAAATAGAAAGCAGGGATCCTTCGGGCCCCTTCCCTAACCCCTATCCCCCCTTGAGTGTCTTTAATTTCAAGCTAGGAGCATCCTAGTCTGTTTCACCGCAGGTCTGCTGACAAGCCAAGAAGCCACGCAAAGATAAGTGTGTGGGGGGGCGGGAGGGGAGGAGGAGGGAGAAGATCCCTCTCCCCCAGTTTCTGGAAGCTGGGTAGCACCACAAACGAGAATTCTAGGGAGATACCCAAGTAGGTCTGTTCCAAAACCAGTGTCCTCCGCCGTCAAACCTGAACCGGCAGCGTCTGGTTCATTTGTAACCTCATGTCCTGTATGCTGCTGAGGATCTTCTTTTGGTGTCCTGCTAGCGTCACTCCTATCCTGAGCAGATCCCTGGAAGGAGAGAAGGGAGACAAAGAAATCAGGAACGTGCAGAGAACGGAATCCAACTCAACAGGGATGAAGTTGAAGCGAGGGTGTTGTTTCTAGAGGGCCTGGGGACACCGGCCACCAGGAATCATGGAGTGGGAAGGGGCCCTCTAAGGCCATTGGTGCAGGAATCCAAAATCAAAGCAGATCTGAGAGATGACTGCCTAATTTTCTCTTCAGTGCCTCCAGGGTTGGAGCGCTCACCGCCTCCTGAAGTCATGGGTTCCACTGTCGTACTGCTCTAACAGTTAAGAAGTTTTTTCCCCCTGATATTCAGCATAAATCTGGCTCGCTGTAGCTTGAACCTATTATGATGTCTCCTGAACTCAGGGACGATCGAGAACAGATCCTGCCCCTCCTCTGTAAGGCTACCTTTCAAGGATTCGAAAAGTGCTCTCCTATCTCCTCTCAGGCTCCTTTTCTCAAGGCTAAACATGCCCAGTTCTTTCAGCCTCACCAGTGAAATACCATTGAAAACTGATGGCAAGCAGGATCTTGCCTTAAAAATGGGAACTAGGAGGTTCTAAGTACCTTCTCCCATCTGCAAGCAACAAGATGGTGACAATTCTGACCTGTTCCGACCGTGTTATGGTAAGACTGGGTCAGATGATGACTAGAAGATATTTTAAATGGTTCACCAATATATTACATGTGATACTGGTTGTATTGTGTGAACTGACTTCATTTTTTTCACTCACAGCCCCTCTTTCGCTGATCCCACCTTACACTAGTATTTGATTGGAACTTTGTTTATTCGTTAGTATATTGTCCTTCCTCCCATGAGCTAAAGACACACATACTTCTCCTCTCTGTATTCACTCTATCCTCACAAGGGCCCTGCAAGGTAGGCCAGGCTGAGAGAAAAGGTCTGAGTAACTCCAAGTCATCCATGAGTTTTATGGCTGCGCAGCATCCAGATCTCCAGAGTCCCAATGCAACAGAAGCTTGCATTTTAAAGAAACCAGGGCCATGTGTTCATGTGTGTGTGAATAAGAAGATTCTCAACCTTTTACACATTTTTCTGTCCTGAAAGAACCCACTCCCCGCTCAGGGGATACTAGAAATTGGCCCTAATAAAGTACCAATTGAAAGCCGTTGTTTTTTTTAAGTGCTGAAGTCAAGACAAATGCATGGTTTTGATGGAATCTACATCTTATGCAAATCTCCAAATCATGTTCTGGGGAAGAAAAATATTTGAGTACTGGGCGATGCCGACATATTGTAAGCTATACTCTCTGGACACTGAATTCAAGCAGAATGCGAAAGTATTAATGTTTGGCTTCCCATTTCTCAAAATCCTGCAGTTCACATGGGCTAGTAGCCGCACTGGTTGAGGAATTATGAGAGGCGAGTTCCAAAAGAGTTAAGTTTCTTCTTCTTCTTTTAGTTCTGAATCTAAGCAACCTTAAACAAGGTTTCTGTAGGGCGGTTTTTCATCCTGTGATCTCAACGCAGAAGCACAGAAACAGATTGGACTACTGTTTTTTTTTTTCCTTTTTCTTTTTAAGAACAAAAAGAAACTGAAGTTCTCTCTTAGATCATACCAAGGCTCCATCTAGTCTGGCACCTGGTTTCCAGTAGTTATCAGGAAGTTACTACACCTCAAAGCTGCAAAATGTGTGGCAACACTTCAGCTCAATGTCTGAAACTGAAGGCAGTGGTGACTGGAATCTCTCCACAGTAAAGGAGAGGAGGTTTTAAATTCCACTTTTTTTAACTTCTGCATATCTAAAAGAGTAGTGAATAGTAAGGCGTATAAAACATGGCATGATTTATCAGTTTTTCAGCCATGACTGTTGTGCCCCGGCAATTCATATTGTGCAAGCTATTGTGAAAAATACTAGGTGAGGCGTCTCCTGCACGGCTGGTTGTGCATCCGATTGTGTGACTTGTTCTGGAACTAGCATCTCACCAAAGAGTGCAACCACTTGCACAATGTTAGTTGTGCATGTGGAAATCCCCAAGAGGACGCTGGCCTAAATATATTTTTTTTATGAGAGAATAATCAACCTACAGCAGGAGCCAACAGATTTCGGTCTTGCATCATTATAATGATCATCACCTTTATCAGCGCGGCTATCAAATTAAGCAGACTCCCTTCTGTCCAGCCATGTACCTCAAACTGGCAAAGCTAAAGGTCATATCCAGGAACTCATCACGGCATAATTAATCTGGGCCCAAGTGATCCATTCTGAGTGCAGTGTAGCACCTTGAAGACCAACGGCTATATTTTAATGTGAGCTTTCTTGGATCAGGTCCACTGACCTACTATAAATAAAGCAGTTCGTCTTGAAGGTGCATCAAGTTCACCTTCGGGGCGTATTTACTCCAGCATTCTTGGCGAGCATTGCCACAAGAACCTAAGCGGTCCACTAGATTTCAGCCAGAAAACAACAGTTCAACCATCTGCCCACGTATGGCATTCAGTGTTCACGGTTCCACTGAACATATTTCTAGAAGCAGTGTGAATGTTGGATTAATGCTGGGGAGAAGTAGCTCCAGATCCCCAGTCAGGAAATTCATTTACTCCAGCATTCTTGGCGAGCATTGCCACAAGAACCTAAGCGGTCCACTAGATTTCAGCCAGAAAACAACAGTTCAACCATCTGCCCACGTATGGCATTCAGTGTTCACGGTTCCACTGAACATATTTCTAGAAGCAGTGTGAATGTTGGATTAATGCTGGGGAGAAGTAGCTCCAGATCCCCAGTCAGGAAATTCACCTTCTCAGGAGGCACAGCAGGGAATCAAACTCCCAAACTCTGGCTCCACAGCTAGATATCTAAATCATTGTGCTATCCCAGCCAGCTGGGCAACCTTAAGCCAGTCATCATCTCTTCAGCGCAACCTCCTTCCCAGGACTGTTCTGAGGATTTTTTTTTTAAAAATGGGAAGAAGAGTCTTGACCTCAGTGATGGAAAGATGGGATATAAATAGAATGAACACACAAAAAAACCCATAGAGGAATGTCCCAAAGTAAGATCATAAGAAGATGTTGGTCTCCTGTTACATTAACGGCTGCACTAGAACTTTGAATCTCTCTCTCTCTCTCTTTTTTTGCCTGCCATATAAAGTGAACTGGAGACGGTAGGTGAAGGAACATCTTAGCCTGAAGCTCCTTCCCGATCATGTCCAGGGATGACAGAGGTACCAGACAAGTACCCCCCAGTCTTGCTCTTAATTCTGGCCCTCCTGTCTGGATAATTCTGTAATCTGTCATCTGAAAAAACACCCCCAACTCCTTCAACCTTTGGAATGAAGCCCGACTTTTCTTGGCTTCTCAAAGCCCACCCTTGCTCACGAGAGATTTCCTAAGCCCGCTGCCAGGCGTGGAATGCTTTTACCCCCTTTTATGACAAGCCCACCTCTGGGCTGCGCTCCCTGCCTGCTGGCCTCCGAGCACCCCTTTCCCCCTTCCGACAACCCCTCCTACTTACTCTGCTGTCATTTGGGCCACCAGATCGAAGGAGGCAAAGCCGGCGTTGACAAAGTTCTCTTTGTACCGTCCCATTTTGATAGCGTCAAGCCAGTCGCCCACAGTAGTGAAGGTTGTGTAATCCGGGACAGTGCGATCCAGGAGTGGCTGAGACACGCTGCGGAGGACGAGAGAGCCCAGAAATCAGGCAAGGCTCGGGGGGGTGTAAGAAGGGCTGTGGCCGACCGAGGCACGGAAACGGACCTGGCAGTCACAGGAGGCTAATAAAAAAGGGGCCATCCGGTTCCCTGTCCACCCTTTGCGCTCTTCTCTCTCTCAGGCCCCGGGCGCTGCCTGCCTCCAGCCCCCAAGTCTACATCCATGAGAGCTAGAAACTTGACCGGGCTAGTCCAGACACAGCAGATTGCCTGTGCTTGGAGAGGGTGAGGGGGCAAACGACACTGACCCAGACTGCACGCTGGCGATGACTTTCAGGCTGGCTGCGTTACGGATGAGCTTGTCCAGCGTGTTCACTATCTGTGCAAACTTTGGGCGAAGGTTACGATCCCGCACCCAGCAGTCCAACATAAGCTGGTGCAGTGCCGTGGGGCAGTCCATCGGAGGCGGGAGGCGGTAATCCTGCTCTACGGCGTTGATCACCTAGAACGACAAGCAACAGCCGGCGTCGGTCATCCAGCCTTCGCTCCTGCTCTTCCTCTTCCTCCTCTTCCTCTTGCCAAGTCCCTCCATCCCAGGCTCTGGAGTGCATACTTACATCCTGGTTGGACATGTCCCAGTAAGGCCGCTCGCCGTACGACATCACCTCCCACATGACAATCCCGTAGCTCCAGACGTCGCTGGCGGAAGTGAACTTGCGGTAGGCGATGGCTTCAGGAGCTGTCCACCGGATCGGGATCTTGCCGCCCTGTGGAAAGATACACTTGAGACAATTAATTAGTGCCAACCTCTTTCCTCCTCCTTGGCGCCTGCTAGCGTTTGCGATCAGAGAACCGAGTTCTCCTTCCACTGCTGGGGGTGGGATGGGGTGGTGTACTTTGGAAGGAACTTCGTGAAGCCAACGCCTTACGGTAGGCGTGGAACCCCCCCCTCGCACATCCCTGAAAGCCAGACTCCAGAATGGCTTGGGGGGGGGGAAGAGTGGAAATTCCCAACCAAGTCTGAAATGCTCAGTCCACCTTCCTGCCCATACATTGCTCTCTCTTCCTGATCCTCTGAATAGCTGCAAAGCTAATTAAAGCGGGTTTTTTAAGAGCAAGGCGGCCTACGATTGATATAGTTCCGTCTTCCTCCTGGGATTTGTCTGTGCACCATTAAACACGACCTGAGCTTGGAATTGTCACGGTTATCTTGTGGCACCCGTTTTACTGGTTAACGGTGTGTGCAAAAGTATCTTCTGCAGCCCACAGGTAAGTGGTTACTAAAGGTTCCAAGGCTGCACAGAGTCACCCGTGGATCTTGGGGAGGGCTGCTCCCACTCTCACGCCCTGCCCTCTCCCAATATATATACAGTAGTGCCCCGCATAGCGAGGTTAATCCATTCCGGATTAACCGTCGCTATGGGGAAACATCGCTATACGGAACCGAAAACGCCACAGAAACGCATTAGAATTTGTTTAATGCGTTCCTATGGCTGCTAAACTCACCATTGTGCGAAGTTTCCCCATAGCGCCGCCATTTTAGCGCCATTTTAGCGCCAGTAGTTTCTCTGCTACTGCACATGTCTCTGCCTCTTCAGTAGGCTTTACCTGACTTTTGTCCTCTTTGCCTTTTTACATGTGGAGGGCAGGGCGCGAAAACGCTGCACGCGGCCATTTTGGGCGTCCGGCGGCCATTTTGGAACTGCCGATCAACTGTTTTAAAAAAATCGCTATGCGAAAATCGGTAAGCGAAACGCTTACCGATCATCGCAAAGCGATTTCCCCCTATCTAAACATCGCAATGCGATCGCTTTTGCGATCGCAATTACGATGTCGCTATGCGGATTCATCGTTAAACGGTGCGCTCGTTAAGCGAGGCACCACTGTATATATATTGTCTTTTCAAAAGGACGTTTTAAAAACTGGATAACTCCTTCTCAGTCTCCAGGGGCCAAGTTGTTTTGTTTTTTTTTTAAAGGGAAGAAAGGGAGTAGAAGTAAGACTGCTCCCACATTTCCTAGAGGGGACTATAAGGCTTTATTTTGCCATTTTGGAAGAAAAATAAATTTTTGGTAAGGGTTTGGGACCCCCTTATGATGCTCTATTTAGGCTCCCAAGGGCTGCCCAGAGGCCATGGGGTGGACTTTGCCCATTCTTGCTGTAGTTCAGCAGCAGTATTGCTGGATGATCACCCAGTTTAATCTCTCGTAACTGGTCACTGCATAGGAAAAGGTTCCCCTTGATAATTTGTTCAGTCGTGTCCGACTCTAGGGCGCAGATAACTGGTCACTGCATAGATAAAGGTTCCCCTTGGCAATTTGTTCAGTTGTGTCCGACTCTAGGGTGCTCATCCCCGTCTGCAAGCCGTACAGCCAGTGTTTGTCTGTAGACAGTTTCAGTGGTCATGTGGCCGGCGCGACTAGACATGGAATGTCTTTTCAAAAGGACGTTTTAAAAACTGGATAACTCCTTCTCAGTCTCCAGGGGCCAAGTTGTTTTGTTTTTTTTTTAAAGGGAAGAAAGGGAGTAGAAGTAAGACTGCTCCCACATTTCCTAGAGGGGACTATAAGGCTTTATTTTGCCATTTTGGAAGAAAAATAAATTTTTGGTAAGGGTTTGGGACCCCCTTATGATGCTCTATTTAGGCTCCCAAGGGCTGCCCAGAGGCCATGGGGTGGACTTTGCCCATTCTTGCTGTAGTTCAGCAGCAGTATTGCTGGATGATCACCCAGTTTAATCTCTCGTAACTGGTCACTGCATAGGAAAAGGTTCCCCTTGATAATTTGTTCAGTCGTGTCCGACTCTAGGGCGCAGTGCTCATCCCCGTCTCCAAGCCGTAGAGCCAGTGTCTGTCCGTAGACAGATTCCGTGGTCACGTGGCCAGCGCGACTAGACACAGAACGCTGTGACCTTCCCACTGTGGTGGTCCCTATTTATCTACTCGCATTTTACATGCTCTTGAACGGCTAGGTTGGCGAGGAGCTGGGACAAGCGACGGAAGCTCCCTCCGTTGTGTGGATTCGATCTTGCTACTGCTGGTCGTCTGACCTTGCAGCACAGAGTGGGATGGGGTGGTGTAAGACTGCTCCCACATTTCCTAGAGGTGACAATAAGACTTTATTTTGCCATTTTGGAAGAGGAATAAATTTTTGGTAAGGGTTTGGGACCCCCTTATGATGCCAGAGGCCATGGGGTGGACTTTGCCCATTCTTGCTGTAGTTCAGCAGCAGTATTGCTGGATGATCACCCAGTTTAATCTCTCATAACTGGTCACTGCATAGATAAAGGTTCCCCTTGGCAATTTGTTCAGTTGTGTCCGACTCTAGGGTGCTCATCCCCGTCTGCAAGCCGTACAGCCAGTGTTTGTCTGTAGACAGTTTCAGTGGTCATGTGGCCGGCGCGACTAGACATGGAATGCCGTGACCTTCCCACCGTGGTGGTCCCTATTTATCTACTCGCATTTTACACGCTTTTGAACGGCTAGGTTGGCGAGGAGCTGGGACAAGCGATGGGAGCTCACTCCGTCGCGTGGATTCGATCTTACAATCTGCTGGTCTTCCAACCTTGCAGCACAGAGGCTTCTGCTGTGGTTTAACCCGAAGCGCCACCACGTCCCTTAGATCCCTGCATAGTGCTTCCTAAAAAAATCCCCACTGGCATAAGATTTCTCTGAAGGATGGGTGGGGTAGTGAGACCAGAGGCTGGTCCCACAACGGCCAGTTCTGCAACCTTCCCTCATCTCGTAATCGTACGGAGTGGCACGCTGTCCCGGGAAGACTTCCACATACCAGGGAGCTGGTGTACGTGGGGTCCGAAGGGTCATCCTCCAAGAAGCGAGAAAGCCCAAAGTCTGACACTTTGCACACTAGGTTGCTGTTGACGAGGATGTTGCGCGCTGCCAGGTCCCGATGCACGTAATTCATCTCGGAAAGATACTTCATGCCGGCAGCAATGCCGCGCAGCATGCCAACCAGCTGGATCACCGTGAATTGCCCATCGTTCAGCTGTCGGGGCGAGAATCAGGGTGGTCAGAGGAGGAGAAAGTCACACACATCCTTCCATCACAGAAAGTATTCTGCCCTCTGCAAATCCACAGCTACCTTGGCTTGTTTGTTCTAAATAGGCCTACTTTGCCTTTCTCCTTAAAAAAGAACCCAAAGGCAGCTAACCTCATTAGAAGACAAAATTTAAAGATCAAAACCAATGAGTATACAAATATAAAAAAAGGAACAGATACCACTCTGAGAAATAGCAAACAAAAGCGATTCAAAAAACACATGTAGAGCAGCAATGCGTAACAGTCCACTTAAACATCCCACTTTAGGCAGCCTGTCAAGGAGGGATGGCTTGCCTGAAGAGAAAGGTCTTTGTCTTCTTGAGGAAGGACAGCCAAGTTGGGGGCCCTCCTTGGCCTCCAGTGGGAGGGAGTTCCAAAGTCTGGGAGCAGCCACTGAGTAAGGTCTTCTCCCATTTCCCCAACAAAAACCCCTGTGAAGTTGGTGGGACCGACTGAAAGGCCTCGCCCGATGATCCTAACCCCTGTGCAGGCTCATAATGGGAGACACGGGGTCTTTGAGATAGCTTGGACCCAAGCCATTTAAGGATTTAAAGGCCTATCCCTTACTTTGCTCTCCCCAAAGCAAAGAGGCCAGACAGAACTTTAACGCTATTTAAAAGGCCACGGTGCCCTCATCAGTAATCTGAACAGCAGCCCCTTCAAAGGGTTAAGACTGGACAGTCCCCTTTGCACGTGCCAGTCTGACATTTCTAAGCCCCGGTGCATCTTCAGGACTGTTCCCTTGCACACTTACACACACATCAAGGCCTAGCAGTCGTGCAAGAGGCAGCCAAACCCAACAGTTCTAGGGGCTACGGCAGCAGCCGCTTGCAATGAGATTAAAACAAAATAACTAATGGAGGAAGTAAATATCAAGCCCATAAGTGACCAGGTATCTATTTTTTACTTTTAGTATTTTTTCAGCCATGCTCCTGGGTCTCTATGAATGAGGAAATCTTTTTTTTTTAATGTTTATTTTTTATTTAATCTTCTTGTTTCAAGGGAACATCTGGTAGACTCTGTAAAGCCTGAGGGTCTACAAGAGCAGAAGTCTGAAGAAGTGGGTATGGAAGGTTTCTGCTTCAAAAATGGTACAGCCGTGATGAAGGCCTGTAGCGGTACACGAGGGGCTTCCTGCCAGAGAGGGAATGAAGTGGGAAAGGCTGTTCTGGTTGCCCTTTAACAATGTTAAGCAGTAAATGAGTAGTCTGTCTCTTTTTGTGCATGCTCTCTGTGTGTGTCTGTACATGTGCATAGATGTTTGCCTCCTTTCTCAAGGGGAAAAAGACGAGTTTCCTACAGCTACATTTTGTAGAAATTATGGGGACTTCCTACTGCTGGCTGGAATCAAGGACTCTCAAAGGGCTTCAGCAATTCCTCTGTGAGGTGTCCCCTGTTGTCAAGACCGCTGAAATGGAGGTGCAATCTAGTGTGAATTCTTCACATCCCTACGCTGCTGCCCCCTTGGTGCCAGGCAGAACCTCAACTTCGTTTCTTTAAAAAATGGAAAGCAAGTGTTTTTGACTTTGGAGGTAAGGCAAAGGTGCTTGAAAACACCACACAAAGTTTACTGAAATCTTCAGAAACCAAAGGGGGCTTTCACACTGAAGGAAGGTGCCACTATCTGATTAGAATTTATTTGTCTCTCCCCCTGACCAGGCAGAGGTGGAATCCGTTATGAAAAATCTATGCAAAGTTCTTCAAACGGCGTGATTTATACAAGGATTCAGCTTCCTCCTGAGCCAACAGACACCCACGTACAAAACCACATTGGAATATATGTTGTCCTACTCGGAATATTTTAATATTCAGCCAACTGCAAGAGGAATAATTGAAAACAGCAACTACCGTATTTTTTGCTCCATAAGACGCACCAAATTTTTAGGAGAAGAAAACAGGAAAAAAATAATCTGGGAATTTCAGTCTGCTGGGCCAGTGGGGGTGAGGGTGGGAAGCCTCCAAAGGGTCCGAGAGTGCCTTCTAGGACCCTTCAAAGGGGTTGTTCTGAAGGGTCCTGGAAGGCAGACTCAGACCCTTGGGAGGCTCCCCCCCAACCGGGCCAGTGGGGGCGAAATCACCAGCTTTGCTCCATAAGACGCACAGACTTTCCCCCCCCTTTTTTTGGGGGGGGGAAGTCTGCCTTAGCAAAAAATACAGTACTAGTACTTAGCAATGTATGTATCGAGCAAGAACTACACGTTTAAAAAGTGACCTGATATGAAGATTATTAATAGTTATTTTATCCTGCCTTTCTCCTCATTCAGGAACCCAAGGTAGCTTTACAGGAATGACTAGGGGAAAAGATCCATTAAGTTATAACATTAGAATGTAATTAAACATAGTGATCATTGTACTAGGAAGTGGAATCTTATTCAAAAAAGCTGCCACTGAAATAAACCTGCAGTTGTTAAGACGTCAACGCTACTTTTGTGGGGTATCTCTGTCCTCTTTTTCTCGCATGCAATAAAAGGCCGCTAACTTAAAATAATTGAAAAAAAACCCCACCCCAACACATTTTACAAAATGGGAGAAAAAAAGAAAAAAAAAAACAGAGAGCATCATTAAGGCCCCTTTCTCTGTAACCCGTTTTGTTGCCAAATGCTTGCCAGAGAAGAGAAAGGACTTCACTCGCTGGCTGCAGGGAAGAAAGCCTCCTCTGAGAGGCTGCAAATCGTTTTGAACCCAATTATTTGGAAAGTGGCATTAAAAAAATTAAAAGAGCAGAGGGCGAGAAACGCTGCAGAGGTCCCCCTTACCCGTAGGAAGGAGTCCAGGGCACAATTCTCCATGAACTCTGTGACAATCATGACTGGACGGCTCTTGGTGACCACCCCCTCCAAATGGATGATGTTGGGGTGGTCAAACTGCCCCATGATGCTGGCTTCGCTCAGGAAGTCTCGCCGCTGACGTTCCGTGTAGCCCACTTTCAGCGTTTTGATGGCCACAAAGATCTCCCGCCGGCCCGGCAGCTTGAGGCGCCCCCGGCAAACCTCCCCGAATTCACCTGCATAGGAGTGGCAAGAAAAGAGTGTTAAAAGCACGGACGGCGGGCTTCTCAGGGAGAAGCCCCCCACTTTCTTGCTCCTTCTGCAGAGAGGGACTTGCCTGCTCCGATCACTTCTTCAATTTTCACGCAAGAGATGTCGATCTCTTTGGCGAACTCCCGAACGGCTTCGTTGGGATCTTCGTAGGTAAAAGGATCAATATAAACCTTCATCCCTGGAGTAACTGCAAAAAAGTGGATTCATGCCACCCTGGGGACTACTCGTACGGACGGGTAACAATTTCAAAAAACAAACATACCCACAAACCCACAATGGTAAGCCCAGGTCTTTTCAATTTTAAAAGCTTTGGACTCCAACCCAATGCTGGACTGTTTATTCCAGAATCAGCCCTCCTCCCACATTTCCTGTTTCCCTAATATCCTGATTGGAGGGAGGTGGGGGCGAAGAGAGAAATCTTTTGGAATAGATTCCTCTGGCACTATGGAGAACAAAAGGAGGACGGGAGGGGGAGAAAATCCAACTTCTAGTCGGATTGGGATATAAAAGGATATTGATGGCCCTTGGCCATTCTTTGGAGAGCTTGAGAACTGGAAACTTAGCTAATTTGAAGGGGATAAACCTGAATTCATAGACTCTTAGAGGAGCATTGTGGCCCAGTGGTTAAACTGCAGTGCTGCAGCTAAAACTCTGCTCATGACCCAGCTTAATCCCAAGTAGCCAACGTGAGGTTCACCGAGCCTTCCATCCTTCTGAGGTCAGTAAATTGAGCACCCAGCTTGCTACCTGGGGTGGGGGCAGGGCAGGGATGTTTAGCCTGCATAATTAAATTTTAAACCGCCCAGAAAGTGCTTTAAGTGCTATGGAGCAGTATATAATCAGCACACTTTGCTTTGGAAACTGGGAGCCAACCCTCGGAAACTGGCATAAGGAGGCTCAGTTTTGAGTGTAGATGCAACCATACCATCTCCTAATGCAGCCGCATCACAGGTCATACACTGTTGTGTTGTTGAATGTCGTAAGCAAGCATGCCTGCATGTCAAAAGTAGGGTGCCAGGGCTTTGCACTGATGCGGCCAACCTACCCTCTGATTTTCAGTCCTGGTGGGCGGGGTTCTGTCTCTCTCTCTCTCTCTCGTGTGGCTCCGCCCCTGTGTGCATAGCTCCGCCCCCTGTGCTGGGTTCCGTCATGACCGGAACCGAAACACGATCACTGTGCAGCGAAGGAAGGGAGCCGCACGGAGGGAAATGAAGTTGTGCATGCACGTACCCAGCGGAGTGGGAACCTTGGATGTGGCACACGCAGATTTCACCGAGCAAGCACAAATCTTATAGAAGACAAATATTGGCACACATAGGAGGCTTTGCTGTCTGTGTAAAATATAAGTTGATACTCACTGTACTGTTGTAGCTTCTCTGTATACTCTGAGTCACTGCTGTTCTGTTGCTTTCTATCCAAAGAGAAAGGGGGGGGGAGGAGGAAGAATTAATGCCACTTCCCTCCCAATCATCCCATCACAGAAGATCTGAACACAACACACAAACACACACACGTGTGTGGACACTCTGAGCTGTAATCTGCTCTACCATTCCACAAAAGTCACACATTAGACTATGTCTAAATGGGCAGCATATAAGCTCATATAAAATAAAAATAAATACATTTATTCTAATGTCGTCACACATTAGACTATGTCGAAATGGGCGGCATATAAGCTCATATAAAATAAATAAAAATAAATACATTTATTCTAATGTCACAGTTCAAATGTCAACATTTAGACTTCCATCCTCATTTCTAACAAACTGCTCTTAAAGCAATTACAGCTGTGTGATCTAATGCATGTGCACTGTAAAACTTTTGGGAGGCAGCCCCTGATATAACCTGGCAATACCATATGGTTCAGGGATAGGAACAGGCCACTTTCCAGATATAGCTGGACCGCAACTCCCATGATCCTTAGCCAGGATTGCCAATGGGGAGGGACCATGGGAGATGCAGTCCAGCAACAGCTGGAGGACTTCCATGTTCTCTGCCCTGATGTAAGGAGGAGGCTCCACCTTAACTCTCATGGGGCTAAGAGCTCAGATACAGGGTCCCTCTCCTCCCTGGAGCTCAGCCTTTCTCCGATCTCCCAACCCTTAGAGACCCAGTACCTGAAGCAGACGATGGCGATGACCACCACAGCTATCACAAAGACAAGACTTGCTGTAGCCGATCCCACAATAAGAGGCAACTCCTGGAAGCTCCTGCTACTGGAGCCTGTTGGAGAGCGGAGGGGAAAAGACGGGAAAAGTGTTTGAAGGTAAGAGCAGACAGCACAGTGAGAGAGGTTTGGAAGGCAGCAGCACATGGGGAAGGAAGCCTACCATCTTCCACCGGCGTCCGAAACTCCATCGGGAGGCTGTACTGGCCATAGCCGGCCACGGTGCGTGCCCGGACTTGCACCATGTAGGCGGAGTTGGGCTTCAACCCTTCCAAACGCACCATGTTCTTCTGGCTGGTGACGGTGTTGGCAATGCCATCGCTCTGGCCCTGCTGTGGGAAAGAGGGAAGGTGCGCTTTCAAAAGTGAATCCCAGACCCATTCTCGGATGATACGTGTACAACTTTCTGAAGATACACAGGAGACAACTTCACAGCATGTCAAATCCTTCACCTTGGTAGCCTAGTCTTACTCTCACCCTTTCCCCCCCCCTCTCTGCATGTCTCTTTTACACCCTGCAGGAGGAACAACTTTGCTCTTGGCAATACAGTGGTGCCTCGCATTACGACGTTAATTCGTTCTAGCGAAATCACTGTAGAACGAAAACGGCGTAAGGCAAAAATAAAAAAGCCATTGAAACGGATTAAAACCTGGTTAATGCTTTCCAATCGGCTAAGAACTCACCGTCCAGCGAAGATCCTCCATAGGGGCGGCCATTTTCGGGTGCCTGTGCAGCGAAAAATGGCTCTTAAACACAGCGGGGAGCCATTTTGAGCACCCGGCAGCCATTTTGAAAACCCGACGATCAGCTGTGTTGATCGTTGGGAAGCGAAAATCGGTTCCCGAAACAGGGAACCGATCATCGCGCAGCGAAATTCCCCCATTCAGAACGTTCAGAATGAAACACGACCCAACCTGGTTTGTTGGGCGTTTGGCTTCATGGTTTGTTCCGTGCCCATCTCTAGTCTGCAGCCAACTCTAGCGGGAAGCTTTGGGACCTCATCAGAAGGCTGCAGGAGATCAGATAATCTTGTCTACTTCCACTGCATTGGGTTCTTTGAGGGAACTACAGCGGACAGCGATTCCCATGATCCTTAGCCGCCCTACGCAGTGGAAGTGTTCAAGGCCATCCACCCTTCTACTCTGTACAGCCCTGCGGACAGAAGCACTCCGGGAAAGCCGCGGTTTAGCAATGCACATTCCTCTTTCAAACAGGAAGTTGTCCTCCCACTTCTTTCGCCCTATTACTATTACCAAAAATAATATGAAATGCTAATAACAATAATCACAGCGGTGGCTGAGGATGCTCAACCACAGGTTAGACTGTTGGATGTGCTTTACATATCTTATCTCAATTATCTTTATAGCAACCCTTGTGAAATGTACTGGTCTCGGTATTTCCTCATTGCAAACAAGGGCCGAAACATAACCGACGTCTTCTACCCTCGAATGGGCAGTCACGGAAGCAAATTTTTCAATGGGTGGTCATGTGACGGATTGCAAAACCAGAAGAAGATGACCGTCTGCATGGAAGAAGATAGCCCAGAAAATAGGTCATCTGCCCTTTATGCAGTCATGGAAGCCAACAAGATTCTAGTCTTTGGTCCAAAGATGAGAAAGATGGCTTCCGTAAGATTTGAACTGGGGTCTCTCTGTCCCTCGGCAAAGCTTTCTGGCTGCACTGGAAGTGAGTGACATGAGCTAACCCACCTCTCCTTGAAAACCAAAGCTGGCCTCAGCGTTACCTGCTGCGTTAACCCAAATTTAACGTAAGTGCTTGATCGGGGCTCCCATCACTGCTTAGGGAATTGGCTTTACCTTCTCAAAGTACTTGATCTCGTAGTCCAGGATGATCCCATTGGGCTGTTTCGGCGGCTCCCAAGAAAGAGTCATGCTACTGCCTGTGCTGCCGTGCAGGTGCATCGTGGGAACGGCCGAGGGCGCTGCAGAAAAGAAGGCGGAGGAAAATTATCAAGACTCTGCTCACCGCAGCGGAAGCAACAGCCACGGACCTCACGCCCACTCCGTTCGGCAGACAAGCTAAAGAGAAAACACCTGCCTTTGGCCTCAGGTGTCAATCCGGCACTGGGTCTACAGTTTGGCTGTCTTCCAAAGAAGAGGAGTGGAACCTCCATGCGGAGTTCTCCCTAAAGTTCCTGGCCTGCTCAGCCAATGACGGAGTGATCCCTGTTGTCTCCAGTGAGTGACTGGAGATAACGCTAAAGATTCCCCAGCAAGGTTAGGGATTCAAGCCGTTCCTACAAGCAACAGCTGAGAATCCTTCGCTCCTCCTCCGCTGAAGCCCCCCAAACAAAGGCTGGAATCCTTCAAAACCGTGGTCCCCAACCTTGGGCCTCCAGATCTGTTCTTGGACTACATCTCCCAGAAGCCTTCTCCACCATCTCTGCCGGCCAGGATTTCTGGGAGTTGAAGTCCAAGAACATCTGGAGGGCCAAGGTTGGGGACCACTGCTTTAGAGCGTCAACATAGGGTTGATTTCCATGTGTTGAAAAGGGTAATTATCAAAACAGGTGGTGCCATCCTGTTTTCTAAGGCAACGGAAGGCAACTGCTGGAAGATCCAATCAACCCTGTGGAAGGAAAATATCTTTTGGCAATATCTCTTGGTCTATCCCCCACTCGCTGCCTTTCTGAAAGGTGAGTGAGATCTACATGGCTTCCTGCCAGCTGCCCGAGAATTGTGGGGGGCATAGGAAGGGCCATCAGAACTCTACAAAATGAGGGATTGCAGATATCGTAATTTCCATCGGTTGCAGGGGTGGGCAAGCTGAGCAAGCCTAGGGGCCGAATTTTCACCTTTGCATCTGTCATGGCCCTCATCAGGTACAGAAATGACATCTACCACCACCCCGCCCGACAAACCATCCCCGCACTCCGCTTCAGTTCCTTGGAAATGGATTTGCAAATTCGCCCTCAGTGAGTTTCACACTGAGGGCATGGGATATTTCTGAACCAATTTAAAAGGGAAAAATATTTTAGAATCCTATCCATCTCATTTTTTGCACTTTTTACATTTTAGGCCTCTGGGGTGGTGGGTGGAGGAGGCTGACTGAAATGCATCCGATGGTCCTCGTCTCGTCCGCTGCAGTCTACTCTCAGCTGATTCTTCTTTCTAGCCGGCTTTATCCACTGCCGGTCACGCTGACTTCTAATGAATTGCTTTTAATGAATTTTACTGGTTTTTTTCCCATTTTTTTATTATTTCGTTCTTTTCAGTTTTTTTTGCTTTATTGTGTTTATTCTTTGTAAATGTCGGGGGGGATTTTTTTAAAAAAGGAAAGGCAGTGCAGAGATACTATTAAATAAATAAATAGCTTGTTTAATTTTATGCATGGCTACACTGATCCAAACTCATTAAAAAATCCATCCTGGGGCAGGGCTGCTTAGGCCAAGATTTTAAGAACAAAGAACGGAGATAACTGTAAGCAATTTCTGCCTCTGAAATGCTTTAAACAATAAGCACCCACATAGTCTGCTGCAGTCTCAGCAGCTTTTGTTAGACGGACGTCAGGACTGCCCCCCCCCGAGTATACTTCTCCCTTCAATAACATTGTGGCTAGGGATACTAGAACACTGTATAGTCAAAATCTGTGTATAACCTTCATGCCACTCAAAACATAACTACAGTGGTGCCTCGCTTGACGACGTTAATTCGTTCTAGCGAAATCGCTGTAGAGCGAAAATGTCGTCAAACGAAACGAAAAAGCCCACTGAAACGCATTAAAACCCGGTTAATGCGTTCCAATGGGCTGAATACCTGCTTGTTTTGCGAAGATCCTCCATACGGCGGCCATTTTTGGTGCCTGTAAAGCGAGGAATCCATCCCTAGAAAACAGCGCGGGGCCATTTTGAAAGCCGGCGGCCATTTTTGAAGCTGCCTATCAGCTGTTCAAAAAACATTGTTTTGCGAAGAATCGGTTCCCGAATCAGGGAAAGCGAAAAAACCCAATTTAAAACATCGTTTTGCAATCGCTTTTGCAATCGCAAAAACCTCATCGTAAAGCGGCTTCCTCGTTGAGCGAGGCAATTGTTAAGCAGGGCACGACTGTACAGTCACACAGGTTTTCAGTGGTTCCCAGCCCCACTGAAAACCTGTTTTCAGTGGTTCCCAGCCCCACTGAAAACACTCATTCAGAGATGACACCCTGGCTTCTCTGCCCCTCCTCTTCTGGGCACCACCTCTGAGTGGCTGCCCACTGGTTAAGAGGCAGGGCCGGGAAGCACAGATGCTAAAGGAACTGGCCCGCACCGCCGAACCGGCAATACGTCCCCATCTCTGTTGACAATCCTTTCCTTGTTTATTGAGCCTTAAAGGTCCTTATGACCCCCTCCTAATCTACAGGCTGAATTCAAGATGTGTTTGGGGGCAAGCAGACCACTTTGTTACGTTCAGTTTTGAATTCATTGGGGTTCTGGGCAGTTGGGGGGGGACAGTCTTTACCGGATATTTATCTACTGATTATTTATCTACTGATTATCTACTGTCCGGAAAGAAAAGAAAAAAACAAGACACTGGGCCTTCTCGGCAGTAGCTCCTTCTCTTTGGCACAAACTCCCCTCCGAGATCCGTTTGGCCCCCTCACTGGGCATTTTTAAAAACCAACTTAAGACCTGGTTATTCAGACAGGTCTTCCCTCCAGGCACTACTTAATTTATTTATCCCCCCCATCTTGAATTATTGTTATCATTGCATATTGCTGTAAAACTGTTATTATATATTAACTGTTTTTATCTTGTCTGTTGTGAGCCGCCCAGAGTAGACAATGTCTAGATGGGTGGCATATAAGTGCAATAAATCTATTTATTTATTTATTGGAATAGTTATTTATTTATTGGGAAAAAATCTGTGTATAACCAAAACCGTACTGCTCGGACCTGTGCAATTAAAAGGGAGATGTGTCCTCCCAAAATCCGGATTCACTGCTGTGTTTCCATAGCAGGGCAGAACCACAGTCTCAGGGGTTCTTCCTCATTGCCGGCTCAGTAGAGGTGACCCAAAAGGGATCCAGGTCTCGGGGAACAGATCCAAGTGGCATCTGTTACCACGGGATACTCACCTGCCTGGTTGGTGGTGATGTTGACCGAGGCAAACTGGGGGTTCTGGGGGTTCTTGCTGGAGACGCCGTTCACAGCCTGGATCTCGAAAGTGTACTGGGTGTGGGCCATCAGGTTGCTGATGTAGATGTGCCTCTCGGTCAGGCCCAGCTGGCGGGGGACAAACTCCACGTTGTCGTCGCAGCGCATGCACTGGCGGCGCTCCACGCTGCACTTCTTGCAGATCACGTTGTAGAGCAGGTCATCCCGGCCTCCGGAATCCCGGGGCTCGCTCCACTCCAAGACCAGCGACGTCTCATTCACGTTGGAAATCACGCTGCGAGGGGCTGACGGGACAGCTGCAACGGGAACAAATCGGCTGAGAGATCCGCCTCGACCCTTGCTGGGCACAGATTTTTGGAAGTTATGGTCTTGGAGTACAACTACCAGCAAGCATCGTTTCAATATTTAAAGACAGTGGCTCCCAACCTTGGCCCTCCAGATGTTCTTGGACTTCAACTCCCAGAAATCCTGGGCAGCAGAGGTGGTGGTGAAGGCTTCTGGGAGTTGTAGTCCAAGAACATCTGGAGGCCCAAGGTAGGGGGATCACTGTTTAAAACAGTGGTGTCCAACCTTGGCCCTCCAGATGTTCTTGGACTTCAACTCCCAGAAATCCTGGGCAGCAGAGGTGGTGGTGAAGGCTTCTGGGAGTTGTAGTCCAAGAACATCTGGAGGCCCAAGGTAGGGGGATCACTGTTTAAAACAGTGGTGTCCAACCTTGGCCCTCCAGATGTTCTTGGACTTCAACTCCCAGAAATCCTGGGCAGCAGAGGTGGTGGTGAAGGCTTCTGGGAGTTGTAGTCCAAGAACATCTGGAGGCCCAAGGTAGGGGGATCACTGTTTAAAACAGTGGTGTCCAACCTTGGCCCTCCAGATGTTCTTGGACTTCAACTCCCAGAAATCCTGGGCAGCAGAGGTGGTGGTGAAGGCTTCTGGGAGTTGTAGTCCAAGAACATCTGGAGGCCCAAGGTAGGGGGATCACTGTTTAAAACAGTGGTGTCCAACCTTGGCCCTCCAGATGTTCTTGGACTTCAACTCCCAGAAATCCTGGGCAGCAGAGGTGGTGGTGAAGGCTTCTGGGAGTTGTAGTCCAAGAACATCTGGAGGCCCAAGGTTGGGGATCACTGTTTAAAGAGTCTCGTTGTCTGACGGAACAGCTATCTCCTCCTGTATTTCCCCAGGTTGAACTCTAAAGGTTCCACCTTCAGGTGCTCGCATTAAATGAGGGGAGGCATGTGGCCTCTTGTGAGAGGATCCTGTCCATGGCCGTACCCATGGCACAGTGATTAAACTGTATCCCTGCAGCCAAAACTCTGCTCATGTTCAATTCCAGGTTCACTCAGTTTTCCATCCTTCTGAGGCTGGTAAATTGAGTACCCAGCTCACTGGGGTGGGGGCAATGTCTGTGTGTGCGCATGGCAATGTGTCGCCTGCATAATTAAACTATAAACCACCCAGAGAGTGCCATGGAGCAGTTTATAAACAGCACACATTTTCCTTTGCTTTTTTTAACTATGTCTTTGAAAAACTCTCCCCAGTAAGACCCACTTGATAACCACATTGTGATGTTTCGGTGGAAGATAAAAAAAAATTCTTTCAGACATTTAAAGAATTGCTTTTAAAGCTTTTACATCATAATCCTCGTCTACTCCGCTGCTGAGTTTATTCTTTTGAGAAATGCTGTTTGGACTTTTAGATTTACAGCTGGTTTTTGTTTAGTTTTATTGCATGTTTTCTCTGGTTAATGTTTACGGTGCACATTTTTTAACAATGTTTCATTCACCACCCAGAGAACGAGGTGATTTTTTTAAAAAAAATGGGTGGTTTTAAGTTCAACAAATACATAAATACACAAAGAAATGATTTTTTTCTCATTCACTGCAACCCCACCTTAGAATACATTCATCTGTGCAGTTTTTACAGTTTTGTGCTACATCCAACTAGACTCTCCAGTTTCCTAGCCAGGTTCTCCTCCCTGCACATCTTTTGTCATTTATTTTACCCTGAATGATCAGCTGTAACAATCTGTATTTCTTTGTTTCTACCTTTTTGCGTTCCATGATTTCTTGGCCTTTCTTTCATTCACCATGATATTTTTTTTGCTAGCCTCCTTCTTGTTCCAGTAAGCTCTTTACAACCTGAGACAAAGCCTTATTTCATGTGCCTCTAGCTTTTCAACGGAAGCCTGTCCATCCCAGACTAGAAACCCCTTGGACCTGAGTATATGACAAACCACTGGTGAACCGAAACAGCTATTCTCACTAACAGACACAAGTTTTAACCAAAAACCTAAGTATCTGTTAAATATCAGCATGGCATGCATGATTTTCCCAATACTGCTATTTTTTTGTAGCTCTGATGGTGTGGCTTCTGCAACTGCCTATAGCACTGCGTGAAATTTCTTGATATAGTTCCCAAAGCCCCAATGACTACGGGGACCACTGGAGTGTGTTTCAACCATGAGTGAGATGTTTCGATGGCCAGGTCTCTGTACTTTGTTAGTGTTTCTAATTCTTTATTTTCAACTCTGGCACCCCCTAGAATTGCAAGGTCATATGATCCAGACCTTTCTTTGTTCTATCCCTATTATGTGTGGTGTGTAAAATGGCCCGCAGGATAGTTCACCTACACCTGCGGCGGACATTTTTCAAAGATTAATGACCTCCCATATCTATTCCTGGACCTTGGAGGGCTGCATCCAGCTGGCATTGGGGGTGGCTGGGATTTGGGCTGGCTTTATGCTCCCTCTGAGCCATGTTAGGGCCAGGAGAGGACTTCTGGTTTTTGAAAAGAGATTAAGAAGTCACTTGAAAACAAACAAACAAACTCCCCCTGACAAAACCCTGAAGAAACTGCAAGGTTTTTTTAAAAAAATTCAAGAGAAATGTTTAAAAATTGAAGGGCAGGGGGGCTGTGGTTGAATGGGGGAATGTGGCCCTTTAGGGCGGCCCGTGGTTTTCTCCTACTTCTGATGTACTTCCTTCTGTACCTGCATAGTTGGCGTGCATGATAATTGGGAGCCTTCCTCTTGTTCACATTCTGTGGTTTTATATTTTTTTTCCTCCCCTGTAGATCACATTTGGCCAGCTCTCTCCTGGATTCTTAAGAGCGTGAGGAATAATAAGCCCAAAATAAATATTTCTCGAACTCCACAGGAAAGACTTACTGGTGCAGGCGCTGTCCGGGAGATCCGTGTCTGCTCGGAAATAATTGTTCTGGCACGTGCAGAGGGTGGCGGCTCCGGAGCTTGTCCGGCTGTTGGGGGGGCAGCGGGAACACAGGCTTTCCCCTTGCTTGGATTTGAAGGTGCCCGGGCTACAGGCTGCGAGAAAACAAACACATCAGAAAAGAACACTTCGTTACCCAAGGAGGATGAGATTCCACCCCCTTTTCGAAATATGGAATAACGATTCAAAAACAAACATGCAGGACTATCATTCAGCGGGGTTAAATTTCTCCCATCCCCAGCTGTTGTCTGACGCGCTGCAGTCCGCTAATTCGTCTGGTTACGTGGATTCGGCCCCTGTTGCAATTCATTACTAGAACAGTTAATGGCCGTCAATTAATTAGGATTTTTTCGCCTGTCCAAACTTAGAAGCACTGAAAGGATTAGATAAAGGGGTCTGATATCTCAGGCTCTCTCTTCCTTTCTATTGCTCTGCTTCTAGCTAGAGCCGATTCCGACAACCCATCCCAGACACAGGAAAGGAATGATCGACCCCACCAGTTGAGATTTCCGCACTCCAACACACCTCTAAATAGGATCTATTTCTTGGCATTCAAGAAGGGATCCTTAACCTTTTTTTGCACCACAACTCCAGGAAGAAACCGGTCAGCCAAACAAAGAGTTATGCCAGCCAGTTTTTTTTTTTGGGGGGGGGAGTTACTAAAATAACTAAAGTTACTAAACTAGTAACTAAAGTTACTAAAGTAACTGGTTACTAAACTAGTAACTGAAGTTACTAAACTAGTAGCTGAAGTTACTAAACTAGTAACTAAAGTTACTAAACTAGTAACTAAAGTTACTAAAGTAACACTTCCCAAATTCTGCTCACTTGCATGTTTTGCCGAAACGGCCATCCCATTTTCTGCAGTGACCACAGATATATATTTGCAAGTAAAACAAGACTCGTCTCAGATTTGCAAAACGGTTTCACCATCCCTGAGACGGATTCCCTGCGTGGATCAGCTGGACCCTCTCTCTCTCTGACTCAGTTTTTTTCCATCCAGGAAGAGGGAGCGAGATGCAGACTCCTCCACAAGTTTGTTGAGAAGGCACAACAGGAAAGATCCCCAAACCTACTGCTAATTCAAAGTGCCTTGGTTCAGCAAAGACCAAACCAAATCCAGTGCCCCCTCTCCGGACATTCTTCCACTGCCCTGCCAGAACCCTAAGATTTATGCCTTGGTGACATTCTCGGTGGTGGGAGCTTTATGGAAGGATTTGCAACTTTGCAAAATACGGAGGACTTTAAATCTTTCCCAATGTCATGCAGAAACGTGTGGGTTTTTTTTTTTTAATTCCTAGAGCCTTATTTAACTTCCACAGGAATCCCAGAAGGAAGAAACAGCTGGCTGTGGGATTCCTGCCAATCTTGGGGCGGCCTCCGTGGACCACATTGGCAATGAGCTGAGCCACTAGGCTCCTTTTTACCTCCCAGTTCCCTGACCCCTGGAAGAAAAAAACAACTTTGTTTGCCCGGAGGGCTGACTGAGTCATTCCCAGAGAGCTTTTTTGGATTCTCCCTTTTTTCCTACTCCACTCTACTTTGTTACTGTTATTGCATTTTTTTTCAAACACAGAAATGAGAAATAAAAATTACACAAGTATAGCAAAGAAGAAGAAAAAGGAAGGGACAGAGTTGTTGTTGTTTAGTCGTTAAGTCATGTCTGACTGTTCGTGACCCCACGAACCAGAGCACACCAGGCCCTCCTGCCTTCCACTGCCTCCCAGAGTTGGGTCAAATTCATGTTGGTCGCTTCAGTGACACTGTCCAACCATCTCATCCTCTGTCTTCCCCTTCTCCTCTTGCCCTCACACTTTCCCAACATCAGGGGCTTTTCCAGGGAGTCTTCGCTTCTCATGAGATGGCCAAAGTATTGAAGCCTCAGCTTCAGGATCTGTCCTTCCAGTGAGCACTCAGGGTTGATTTCCTTCAGAACGGAGAGGTTTGCTCTCCTTGCAGTCCAGGAGACTCTCAAGCGTCTCCTCCAGCACCACAATTCAAAAGACCCCTGGCTACTTAAACAACTTCACTGCATCCAGCTTGGATTGATTTAAATAGCTGGTTGACAAAAGTGTCAATCGCAAATTCGAACTCTGGTCCAGAGGAATCAATGGGGCAGAAATGGATGTCTCCCAACAGAAGGCAATGGCAAACAGATGTATCAGGAAGAAAAAAATAACCCCTTATAATCGGAGCTTGGAAAAATTACTTTTGGCAACTACAACCCCCAGAATTCCCCAGACAGCTTGGCTACACTAGCAGGGAGAGTTTAGGAGTTGGAGTCCCAAACAGTAACTTTTAACGCAGATAGGTTGATTGATCTTATTATGGCTTCAATAGCAAAGAGACAAGACTCTTGGCAGGGCTGACAATAAATTTGATCTTTCCTCCACATGACCAAGTGGGACGACCCTTTTCCTGCCTGGTGCTTATCTTTCCTCCACATGACCAAGTGATCGACCCAGAAAGCCTTCTATTAATTGCAGTTCTGCATTTCATCCAAGCTTGTTCAGAACAAGCCAAGATACAAAGCCACCATCTGATGTTCGTTCAATATCCTGGCTTACTGCTGGTTTAACCCTAGGATTCTTAATACTGGAGACACAAGAGAAGGGAAGGGAAGAGATAGTGGGGGGATATGAGAGTCAGGAATATTAGAGATGGGTGGTATTAATGAGGGTCACAGGTGGTGTTAACGAGGGTCCAGCCCCATGGGGATCCACTCATGGATCCGCCACAGATGTGGATGGCGTGATTCTACCAATGGCTCCACAGCGCAAAACGGGAGGACAAGCCTCGCTAGAAGGTCAAAGAGTGGCGAGCGGATCATGTGCTGCGGAGCCATTGGTAGAATTGCGCCGGCCACGGCTGCAGCCGAACGGTGAGTGGACCATCCGGCCCCATCGGGCTGGACCCTTGTTAACGCCACCTGCGCAGGGATATTCGCATTCGTATACGAATACCCCCATCTCTAATCATGATCTAGGTCTGTGGCAGAGATGAGAAAAGTTGCTTTTCTCATACCCTAACCATGCCTTTGAGACAGAAAGGCACAAAAGCTAAGTCCTCCCACCTTCCCAACTTTTCTATACGAAGGTCTCACGCCATCTTCATTATATTAGTAAACTTTCTCTTTATAGCCTTGAGGACTAGAAACTTTTTCCTGTCTTCACCAATGCTTTTGGAAAGGCGCAGCATCAAATCCTGCCTTGCAAAATCCCTTCTCAAGACCGGCAGAGCTTCTCTGTGCTGGTTTTCCAGATTCCCATCCTCTGGCGAAAGCACAACACCAACCTGCCGAGGGCCTGCAAGGAGCGGAGCACGATAAACAGGAAAAGGTTTCAGGAACCCTCCCCATGTGTGGTCAGCCCTCAAGGGCCCAACCCAAGTCGGCTGATCGTGCTGATGGCAGCCGAGGCAAAGAAGCTCTTTTCAGAGTGGCGAAACCACAGAGAAGGACCGCGGGAATCTGGAGTGCGACAGGAAATGGTTGGGATGGCAGTAAAACCAGAGCGGCTGGAATTCGGATGACCCTGCCCATTTGCTTGGGCATCTGCCCTCCCTTCGCAACTACAGTACACACAGCGCTCTGATGTTTTCATGTTCTCATCCCGGTTGTTTGGTGGCAAAAGGAGTGAGATGTCTAGGAAAAGCAGCTGCAGGCCCTCATAATTGCAAACAGGGTCTGGAAAAGCCCCCCTCCCTGTTTTTGTTTCTCTTTTAAAACTACAACTCCCATGATCTGAAAAGACTCTCCCCGGATTCTGGATCCTGAATCCCACACCCCCACACCTGAGAGGAACCTTTCCAACATTCCAACAGCAAAGAAACTCCATCAGCCCTAGTTAAACCTTACGGGGCACAGATCCCTCCCCTCTGCTTGTTCTTCAATATTCAATCCCAGGCTACAGTTGCTGATTTTTAAAACAATCTCTCTGCCTTAAAACAATTTAACCCTCCCCAGATATTTCGATCTTATTTGGTGGTGGGAGAGGAAATCCTGCCAATGTATGGCCTGTTTTCTCTGACCCTATTGTAGGAACCCAACAAAATTGAAAAGCAGCCAAAAGAGAACTATAATAGCGTTCCAGATTCTAGTTAGCCATGCATTTTTCCATTCTCTACCCCTCAACTCTTCATTCCCCCATCATCCACATTCCGTGGTTAGTGACTTGAGTTTTGGCCTGATCCAGCTGTTTTTCAGGTTCTCTCCTTGTTAGGTCCCCCTCCCTAAATTTTGATTTTATGATTTAAAAACTATGATTACATTTTTTGTTTTGTTTTTGCTTCTGCACATTCTGTGATTCTCTCATGTACGCGGATACCTCATTCCTGAACACACAGATGCTGGGAATCTGGCTATCTATGATGATTCACATTCAAAGTATTGCTGGATAGCTAATTCAGTGGTCCCCAACCTTGGGCCTCCAGATGTTCTTGGACTTCAATTCCCAGAAATCCTGGCCAGCAGAGGTGGTGGTGAAGGCTTCTGGGAATTGTAGTCCAAGAACATCTGGAGGCCCAAGGTTGGGAACCAATGAGCTAAGTGGTTTAGATATCTGGCTGTGGAGCCAGAGGTTGGGAGTTTGATTCCCCACTGTGTTTCCCCGCCAGAGACTCGAGTCAATGTCGATTGGGTCCCTTCCAGCTCTCCAGTACAGAGACTCGAGTCAATGTCGATTTGCGTGTGTCCGTATCAAAGCAGAATAGCCAGATTTGGTTCTGGTATGAAAGGAAGCTAGTTTACCAGTTGATTCAGATCTGAGACAGCCAAATCAGACAGCTGACAAATTTCTTTAGCCTACTAGTTTTTGTTTCTCAAAAGAAACCTTTAAAGGTCTCTGATAGGCAAACTCTTGAACTTAAGTGTCAGACATTTGCAGACTTACTAAATCCCTGGTTTAGATTCTATCATGTTTCCAACATTCATGGATGGCCGTGCAAAAGGGGAGGAAAGCTGCAGCCGTTACGGTTTCTGAATGCAAACAAATGCAGTTGAATCGATGAACTGACACCTTGGTTTGCATCTGGAGCACAAACCGAATCGAAGGGGCCCCCAAATCATTCTGGATCAAACCCAAAAGACCCAAAGAGG